AAAAAAAAAAAAAAAAAAAAAAAAAAATTAAAAAAAAAAAAAAAAAAGAAATCAGGTCTGAAGCTGAGGATGCCATTAATGACTGTCTGTCTAGTCACTCGGGCCTGGAATGTTCCCTGCTCCTGTGCATATAGAGCCCCGAGTTGGTCCTGTCTGTTTCTTTATCTCAAACCTTTGGAAAGCATCCCTCTGCTTCTGTTCCACTCTTCCTAGTGCTCTCACCATCTCCCATCAGGACTGTACCAACAACCTCCCCAGCTCCTGCTGTCTACTGTTCCACCCATCCTGCACACCTCTTGTGATATTTTTGCCCAAACCTTCCGGGGACTCCTTGTTATCTACAAAATAAGGTTAAATTCCTAGTGGGTATTCAAACCCTTCCTAATGTGGTTTCAATCAACATCTGCAGCTTTACCTTCCATTACTCCAATCACCAACCATCCTCTCCAAATTCTCCTCGCCCTTTCTTACTTCACTTCTAAACTCTCTGGATCCCTGCCCAGAATCACTCTCCTCCAATCTCTGCACAGTCAGAGTCCTGCCCATCACTTATGACCTAGTTCAGGGTGGGGCTTCCTCCACCATCATCCCATTGAGAAGGGAAGAAAGGAACACTGACTCAGCACTGCAGAGGCACCTGTGCACACACCTTACCCCGGCTTTATGAGAACTCTTGGAGTAGATAGCGTGGGGAGAGATTCCCAGCAGCTTATCCTTCCTCTGGTTATAAACAGTTCTCTTACACCCAGAGGGGAAGCTTCTACAGAGTTACAGCTCTATCTTTATGTCTCTGTAGCTTTCTCAGTACTTCATTCACTGTGGATGCTAAATAAATTTTGTTGAGTGCATTTACGCACGTATAATTTTGTCAGGGTAATAGGGTACATACTGTGGCCACCTTGACCATCTCCGAACTAAAAGAAGGGCGGCCACTCAGTGAGGCTGCATCCGCATGCACTGTCTTTGCTCCTTTCACCATCCCTGATGCTCTCTGCTGGTGCCCTCAGTCTAGCACTCCCTCTTCTCTTCAGGCTTCCAGGAGCCAAGCAAAATGGGAGAAAAGCCCTTGGAATTTCCAGGCATCAAGCCTCTGAGAACATGGGAATTATGGGGTATCTGTGATTCTAGAACAATCTGCACTGCGTCTTCTCCCACTGCTCACCCAGCAGTAACCAAGGAGCTCACAAAGTGCATCATGGGGCACAAGGGAAAGGAACGTGAACTTGCACAAATCTGCCCTTGTCCCTGGGAAAGCGACAAAACATCTGCTCCAATGAAGTTTCCTTCTCAAAACCCAGGGCGATGTTTAAAAGGCAGACCCCAGCACCAGCTCCAGAAATGATCATGATGGCCACTGAGGGGGACCACCGCCTGCCTACCTGCTAGCCCAACGTCAGCTGCGTTAGCGATCGCCACCGCCTCCTCCTCTGTATCGAACCTGCCAAAGTCAAGATGGGTCGTCAGCAAAATCTGTAAGGGAGAATAAATAAACCCAGCTGTCTTTTCTCCCAATTTGTTTCCAAATAACAGCAAGGGGCAAATGGGAGTTTTGCAAAGAGATTGCAGGGCAGAGTACAGAGGAAAACAGCACCACGTGCTGCGATGACTCAGCGTTCAAGACTGGCCTTCTCTCTTCTAAGGGAACAGGAGACTGGGAGGCTGACGTGCAGGGAACTGCAGCATACCCAGAATGTCAAACAAAATGCCTTGAAAAGGATTACTGCTCTTGCTCCCTACTGAGAATATACAACAATTATAACACCTGCATAGTTTAGAAGCAACCATAATGTAGTAGAATGAAGACCGTCCAGAGGAAATTGGGGCCAAGGTTCTAATGTCGGCTTTACCACTTACAGTGATGGTGCTGGGAGTCTGTTCCTTTCTGGAATCAAAGAGTGCTAGCACCAAAGCCCTGTGCAGTCTCTTCTAGCTTTATCATTTTATTTCTGGAACAAGATTTGAGTGGCATTTTTCTGTTGCCCCAGAGTTGTAACCGGGACAAAAGGTTCTAAGCACCCCAATTCCTAAATTCAGAGATCTGCCAGCAGTGGGGACCAGCATCTCTCTGGAGGCACCAGGCAGAGCTGGCTGGGCTGCTCTGGGCCCCAGTCAATACAATCGGAAGACTGGGAGAGAAGAAGGCAGCTTTGGGGGAGGGAAGGTCAAGGATGGTGACCCCAAGAGAATCGGTTGTTCTGAGGATGACCAGTTGTGTCTCCTAGGGCTTCTCTCTCCACTTGAACATACAAAGCAAGCCATGCTATCCACAGGAGAACAGAAAAACAGGGCATCCCCAATGTCCCTACTCTCCAGTTAGCCCTAAAAATATAGCAATCACATCATCAGTTGTGACATCATTAAGGATTTTCACCTTTCCGTTGTATCTGCTAACATCGGAGCTGTGCTCCCACCACTCTGTGCCCCAGAAGGAGAGAGTGGTGACACTGGAGTCCACTGGGTCCCCTCCCTGACTTACATTTTATTTACACCACCACCACCACCACCACCATAATATTATGAGACAATGTGCTAAGCACTTTATGTACATTCTATCATATAACCTGATAACTACCCTGTGAGGCAGGAACTAGTTCTTATCCTGTTTCCCATATGAGGACCCTGAGGCTCAGAGAAGTTAACACGTGCAAGGGTACAAGGTATGAAGTAGCAAAGCCTGAATTTACACCCCATTCAACTCCCAAGCCTGCCTTCTAACCACTACATCCTTGACGTTTCCTGTGAAAACATCAAGTTCACAGTCTAGGTAAAAAAGTTTTATTAAAACAAAGAAGATGAAAGTCCTTCAAGTGGTTCATTTCCCCAGTGGTGGACTAACATGTAAACTTCCTTAGCAAGATGGTAACAAAGCCGGCAAAGTATGTAAGAAAGATTTCTGTCCTGCACAAGATGGTACAGGCAGCACAGAGAGCTGCCGGCTCTCTCTGGCAATCCGATGCTGGAGATGCCAGAGGAGAGACAGAGAATCACGGCTCAAAAAACCTCAATCAACAACTAACGCCAAAAGGGCAAGACACTTCCGGAAGCCAAGAAGTGGTTGGATCCTGGGGGGGAATGACAGTCTCAAGGGGGGGAGCTGGGGGCCACCCATGGAGGGGGTGGAAGGGCCAGAGCTCTACGGAGCCTGCGGAGGTGGGGCTGTACCTCCCCCATCACACCGGGGCATTTCAGGTGCTGCTGCCCACAGACCTGGATCCCTGGACCAATGCTATGTTGCTATGGGCAGAAAAGCAGCAGGGCCAACTCAGGGCAGCGGGGGCCCAGGCAGTGCTCAAGCCCAGCTGGCTAAGCGAGCGATCCAAAACAAGTGTAGGAGCACCAGGAACCAGACGCGTCTTCTCCCCACCCATTACTATACGTAAAACAGCCCTGGGGGCAAAGGATGCCTAGGGCAGGGGAGTGGTGTTGAGACCAGATTTTAATACTAGAAGCTCCCTCCCTGAGGCTCAACCCTCCGCCCTCCAAATGTATCAGAGGGAGCACAAACTACCATCTAAGCCTTTTACTACAATCCTAAGGCAGACATTACTAGCCAAGGCTGCCAGCAGTTCAAGGGGCTAAAGATGAGTTCACAGGGAAAATGACAAGACATCTGAGGGCTCCAAGACTAAGAAAGATAAACAGAACAACCTGTACCAGAGGAGGCAAAAATAGTGGAACAGAATAAAAACGTAAGAAAAGGAAAAGCATCCACGCAAAATAAGGGGGAATAATAAAGCAGGAAGAATCAGTTATAGGCAAGAACCAACTGGAGAGATCAAGGATGAAAAAAATAATTGTTGCGATAAAGAACCTGGTGGATGGGTTGGATAGCAGAATGGATGTATTTGAAGAATGAATTACTGAGCTGGCAGATGGAGGGGAAGGAGTTTCTTAGAGGGCATCAGGAATGGATGAAGAGATGGAAGGAACAAACAAGAGTTAAGAGAAGTGGAAGATGGCAGTGGAAATATCACTACAATAGACTTCTTAAAAGGGTAGAAAAGGATCAGTGGAGGGAAGAGAAATATTTGGAGAAATAATGACCAAGAATTTCCCAGGACTAAACAAAACCCTTTAGATATTAAAGGAAGACATTAGGACCTCAGAATAAAAAACTCACAAGTGCCACAGCAGTAACATGTAAGAATGTCCAAGACCATGAGTGATTTCAAAAGTCTCCAAAGAGAAAAAGCAGATCCCTTTCAAAGGAACAAGAACCAGAGAGCAGTTTCTCAGTAACAACTCTGGAAATAAGCAGACAGCGGAGTGATATCTTCAAAGTGTGGAACCTAGAATTTCATCCAGGGAAATTATTATTTACTTGTGAACGTGAGATAAAAGATCACACGAGAACATAGAAAGCTCAGTCCCACAGACTCCCTTGAGAGAACTCTTTGAGGATGTACTCCCTGAAGAAGAAAAATGAGTTCAGCAGAAAGCAAGAAGAAAGCCAAGAATCTGGTAAATGTTGTGGTCTACCTAGGCAATGATAAAAACAAATTTTCTTAAATCATAAATCGAACTTGGCTCTTCCATTGACACAACACAGCTCTCTGCCTCTCCAGCCCGCCTCCTCCCCACCCAGGCCAGAAAACAGCACATGAACTGGATTTCTCTATAGGTTTCCTTTTTCTTTTCTATTCTTTCTCCTCTCTTCCTACCAGCTGCATGATCTTACTTGATAACTGGTGCCAGAGGCCCAAACGTCTCTTCATGAGAGCAGAGCATGTCCCGGGTGACGTTGCTGAGCAGGGTGGGCTCGAAGAAATTTTTTCCCAGTTGATGTCGCTTCCCACCTGTCACAATGGTGGCCCCTTTGGAGACTGCATCACTCACGTGTTTTTCTACCTGTGTGAAGAGAACGAGAAGAGCCCTTGGGAAAGTTGGTTGAGGGTACTTTGGAAATGACACAATCTCGCTGAATGTTTAAACTGCAGAAAACTATAACTTTAAAAAAGAAAATAGGTTAAAAACAATGTATCCTAGTTCCTTTTAGGTAGAAAGAACCAAATATGCAGAGATACAGAGGCACTAAGGAGGCACGTGGTGTGTGCAATGCTGCCTTCTCCCTGCTCTTTGCTTTTCAGTTGTCTGATCTCACTATTGGCTGGATGGTCTAATACGTATATACTGGTGTCTTTCTAGGCCTGATGCTCAGCTGTTTCCCTGGGATTTGCTCTCACTGCACTCCTGGGTTACTTCCAGGTTCTTCAATCCCACATTGTCCTCTTTCCTGGAATTTGCTTTCATTTTGTTCTAATACATTCTCCTCAAGCAGTTGTTTCGAAAAAGGTTCCCTGAGAGTGGTTTACTCTCTGAATTTTCTGACACTTCGTGTCTGATGTTTTACTTTGTCCTCTATGTGATTGACAATTTGGTTGGCAATGGAATTTTGATCCAAAATAATTTTCCTTCACAACCTTGAGTGCACTTCTCCACTGCTAGTGTTGTTGATGAAAAGTGTGATTCAAAAATGGTTCTCACTCCTTTGTGGGTAGCTTTTTCCTCTTCTGGAAGCTTCTAGGATCTTCTTTAATGTTCCTGACATTCTAAAATTTTAGCAAAATATATCTGGGTTTCTCTTTTCATTCACTCTACTTGACAATTAGAGAAATCTTTCAATCTGAAGGATTATTTTCCTCCAGCTCTAAGACGTTTTTATTATTTATTTGATAATGCCATTTCCCTCCAGCTTCTCAATTTTTCTTTCTAGAACTATTACTAAAATGGATAGCCCCCTCACCTTAGATTCTGATTTCTTTTGCATTTCTGTCATATTTTTCATCTTTGTCTTTTACTTTCCATTCTAAGAGCTCTCCTTGATTCTGTCTCCCATCTTCACCTACTGATTTTTAAAAAAACTTTGACCATCATGTGTTTCATTTCTAAAAACTCTTTCTTGTTCTCATTGCTTCATGTTCACAGACACTGCTTCTATTTCATAGATGTACTATCTTCTCAAAACTCTAGGAGGATACTATTAGATTCTTAGAAAATTCCTTTCTGTTCCCAGATTCACCTGCCTCCTTGAGGGCTGGCTGTTCTGTTTGTTCTTCCTGACCCTTCCTCTCATATGCTGAGGGTTTGCCCCAAAGGTGTCATGATCCTTGGTTGTTCAACTTTCTGATGAAGGACTGGGTTGATTAACTTAGGTGGGTGGCATGGGTGGCCTTTGCTGTTTCCAGTCTCTTCCCTGAACGAGAGGGACAACTGCAAACTCAGGTTTATGCAGACTTGGCACACTTCACTTTAGGGGCAACCCCTTCCCGAGAGGGCAAAGGCAGGGGAGACCCACTCTGGTGCGCCTCCTCTTACTCTCGAAGCTGTACCCTCCGAGGCAGGCTGCTATATCTCTTCAGAGGCATTTTCCTACCCAGAGCAAATGCCTCTGCTGTCTTATACGTACTGGTGGTGATGGTGATGGAAAGGAGCGGTGTGGGAATGACCCAGAAAACTGAAAAGTATAACCAATGAGCGCCATTTCTCCCTCACTCCCATTCCTACTCTCTACCCCAGCCAATTCGAGATAAGCCTCCATCCTAAAAATTGGCACCCATTTCTCTGCAGGCTTCCCCTGGGCACCTCGGCTGCTTTGACTTTTCTATTAACATGATCCCTTCTGCCTTCCAGAAGCTCATCATGATCTTTGGTCCATTGAGTCCTCCTGCTCCTCCCATTCTCAGCTGAATGCTCTGTAGGACTTCAGAAGAGATAAATATAGGCCTGGGCACATTCTGCCATCCTGACTCACCCTTTTTAAATCCTCACCCCCTACAACACTCTCATAGTCCACTGTCTGCAACAAATCCCCATTAGCCAGGATGCTTGCTTTCTATGATTTATATCCGTAAAAATAATTATATTTAACATACTTAACAAGGACCTACCTCTTTGTACCCAAAGAGACTATGCTCTACCCTTTTCTTGTCATATTAAATGTGATGTGCAAATTTTTTTTCCTGGAATTTACCCTATGACTGTGTGTATACTAAAGCCAGCACAATGGATTGTTTTCAGACAAGACGTTTTCTACTAAACTCTCCAAAGAAAGAAATCCTTCAACCGTAGCTGCTTGAAGTCCTAGAAAACAGCGCCCTCTAGAAAGCAATGTCTGCATCTTCACTTTGGCAAGAACAACGACACAGAAAATCTCTAGGACAATGGTTTCCCAGCCTGGCGAACTAGCACTAACTGAGGCACTTAAAAAATACCAATGCCTAGACCCTACTCCAGACAAATTCACACCCAGTCTCCTCAGGTGGGACCTGGGCATCTGTAGTTGTTCAAGGCACCTGGTGGGTTAAGAACCACCATGCTGGGACTTGAACCACAGCTGGTACAAACCCAAATTGTCTTCACTGGCCAATCAAGTCCCCAGGGTCCAACGTCACCTCAAAAGTGCAGGTCTGTCAAACCTCGATGCTTCCCTTGGTTTCCACTGGGGAAGGCAACAGACATGGGTTCAGCAGACCTGACAGCCCAGTGGGTTAGGGAAGCCATTCCAGGGCGTGGCCCTCAGGAGGCGGATGAACAGCGGTGAGGCTGTGCTTCCCACTGGGTGCTGACCTGGCTCTCACTTCACTGTGGTTCCTCAGGTGACACCCAGGAGACTGGCCGTGCCCACCTTCTGGCCACCGCTTCTCCCTTCTTTCCCACACACAATCTCCAGCCTCCATTTTCTGATTTAAATTATTCCATTAAAATCCTTTCTACTAGTAGAGACTTATCTAGGGAACATACTGGATGTTTGGTATTACAAGAATATTCCTTGTAAGCAACTCTAAAAAGGATTATTTTTTAAAACAGTAGAACAAGGAGAGAACGCTCACCTAGCTAGTAGTCTAGATTGTGATATTTTTTGAACAAACAAATCCTTCCTAAAGGCAGTGTCCATTTCTCGCCATGTCTAAATCCTGAAGGTGGCTTCTGCTATTCTACGTCTCCCTACCGGATGCTTTCATCAAGGATTCTTCTGGAAGGGCATTTTGTTGTCAATGTCAGCCAACATTTCAGCTGAAATATAAACAATTTCAAAAACAAAACCGGTCTTTCTTTCCTTTTAGGTGTTCAAAAGATCAAAGAACTTTGTATTTCAAGATCCTAATTCCTGAGGGAGCGAGGGATAGAATTATCACCACCATAAGAGAAAATTTAGGGAGGGCGGTAAAAGATCTGAAGTGACGGATCTCCTGGGGACTCAGCGTAATGACAGAGTTGGAAAAGGTTATGACCAGATGATGCCACTCGAGGCATACAAATTGCAGAAATTCACTTTTTCCCGATTTCTTCATTGTTTCCAAAATAGCCTTGCTGAGACATCATCAAAGTTTTTTGCTAATTAAGCTTCAGATACCAAAACCATGAAATCTGCTTTAACAGATAATAACACGAACTTACCTTTTCTACTGCTTTTTCATTAATCAGTGGGCCTTGAGTCGTTCTCTCCTCAAATCCATTACCCACATGCAGGTGTGCTTTCATTGCCTCAGCAAATTTTTTCACAAAGGAATCATGGATACCCCTTTGCACCAAGAAACGGTTTGAGCAAACACAAGTCTAGACAGAAGAAAACAAACGCAGACGTTTGTTGGAAGCTACTGACCCAACCAATAAATGTGTGACTGCTGGTGCCTCTCTGGACGTGAAAACACTTTCCCAGGTGGTTCTCATCAGGTGTCCAACCTGCTGTTTTCCTCCTATGTGGACTTGGCGCTAAAGATAAATGCACTGAGTAAGTGCGCATTCTCCTCCAGCCCCCTGCACAGCCGCCACACCTCTGTGGTTCAATAAGTAAGCCAGTATAAATACCTGTGTGCCAAAAAAAAAAAAAAAGCCAACTAACCCAAGTTTTTTCAAATGGCTTCAATAAGCCGTTATGAAACAAAGAGGGAAAGAAAAGACCAACACAAAAAACTCTAACCCTGCTAGACTGATGCTGCAGCGACAGAGCGCAGGGGCTAGAAGGGGTGCGGTCAAAGGCTAACTTACATCCTTTAGGTTATTAAACCTTCCAACGGTTTGGCTGAATCTGACATTTTGAAAATGGACAAAAGACCATTCTTCCATGTCAGCCTAAATTATTGAAAAGACCCTTGCTTATTCTTTTCTAAATTATAAAATATAACCACATTACAGGAAATGTAGTTAACATCGATAAATTTTCTTCGTCTTTTTTCTTAATCGTGTATTTTTCTAATAGAAATGGGTATATAGTCAATTTTGTGTCCTATGCATTTTTATTGCCTTAAAGCAACATACTCCAAAGTTGTAGCTTTATTGTATAACTCTGAAGGTTACAAACATTGGCATTTTGTGTTTCTAAATGGCAACATACCTATTTCTGAAATAACCAAGCTTATTTAGGTTATGTGAAAGGGAGAAAACTAATTACCAAAGGCCAACACAAGGATGAAAACTATTTAATATAGAATATTATACAGCATTTCACCTTTTTTTCATAATATAACCTCTCAGGAGTTTTTATTCCATTTCTGGAATGCATTTAAAACTCCTTATTGATGGTACTTTAACACAAAGTGCTTAAGAATATTTTGCAAGAAGCCAGGATCCTGGCAACAGCTTGGATAGACCTTGGGAGACAGGACCCTAGGATGTGTGACCTCCAGTCAGTTAGTCTTTCTAGAGTTTCATTTCCTCGTCTGTAAAATGTGAGACTCGTATCAGATAATTTTGAAGGTCTCTGCCAGATCTAATATTCCAGGATTTCCTATGAAGGCGTGAGCTGAGGCTGTCACACTCTCAGTGACAACCTGGACACCCGTGGGAACACTGCTGGTCCTTGGGCGTGCAGCCTGTGGTGGGTGTCTAGGATGCCCTCCCAACTCAGGAGGAGTGAATCCCAGGCAGCAGGGTTTTGAGTTTTTCATGGCACCATCTCAACCTTTTCCCACTTTCTTTTCCTTAAGACTGGAGGCCTCAGACCCTAGCTGTTCAAGGCTGTTTTGTGCCTCAGGAGATTTATTATAGCTGTTCAGTAGAGAAAAGCCCAATGAGGGAAAACTATGAAAATAACCAGATTCAAACAATAGGGGAAAGAAGAGAAGAGAGAACAATTTTATTAAAAGACATTGCTGTTCAGGAAATTCCTTGAAGCCGGGGACTCTACCTTCTCTCTCTGTGGACCCTCCAACCTTAGCATAGTCCTAGCAAAAGAAGGCACTCACTACACATTTGCTGAAAGAGCGAATGAACGATAGGAGGAACCTTCCAGGGGATGAGTAGGGTGGTGGGATCTTTGTGAAACACACACACACAGAACCCCTGAACAATGCTCCAGGACTCACCTGCCCCGAGTTCCTAAATTTAGACGCCATGGCGCCTGCTACAGCATGGTCCACGTTGGCACTGTCAAAGACAATGAACGCGGCGTGGCCGCCCAGCTCCATGGAGACCCTTTTCACAGAGTCGGCCGCGTGGTGCAGGAGGATCTGCAGGCAGAGGAGAGAGGGCTGTAAGCACTCAAAACAACTACCAGGACTGGAAGCCTTTGTTTCAAAAAAGTACCCAACAGTGAAAACAGCCAGGTGCCCAGGAGTGTAGACGGGCTGATACTTTGCATAAGAAAAGGGAAAAACAAGAATATACATTCATATTTGCCTGTATTTGATAAACAGCCATTGAGACGATAAAAAGAAACTAAAAGTTATTACTTATAGAAGGGAGGGAGTCAGGGACAGGGTGAGGGTGAGACTCTCCCGTGTAAACTTGTTTATACTGTCTTGATCCTTGAAGCATATAAGTGTACTGCCCATTTTAAAAAATCATGTGATAATAGACTTAAAAATCATAATATAGAGATAAGATAATAAAATCATCCAGAATCCCACAACCCATAGGTTATCACTAATAAAATTTTAAGGTATATGGGGGCTGGCCTCATGGCTTAGTGGTTAAGTGCATGCGCTCCGCTACTGGCGGCCTGGGTTCGGATCCTGGGTGCACACCGACGCACTGCTTGTCTGGCCATGCTGAGGCGGCGTCCCACATACAGCAACTAGAGGGATGTGCAACTATGACATACAACTATCTATTGGGACTTTGTGGAGAAAAAGGGAAAAAAGAACAAAACCTCTCAAAAAAAAAAAAATTTTTAAGGTATATCCATCCAGAATTTGGCCACACAGGTTCATGTATATGTACTTTTTTTTTTTTTTTGAAGAAAACAGGATGGTAGAATTATACAGTTTTATAACCTGCTTTATCTTCCTAATTAATCACATATCTGGAAGATCTTAACATGTTCACGACACTTTATACTTTGCTCCTTTAATGTAACACTACAATGTGAAGATTCTCTCATGTCAGCATATTTGTTTCTAGAACATTCATTTAGATGGCTGCATAGTATTCTATTGCATGGCTCTCCCATAATTTTATTCAGCCTCTATCTGTTGGAAATTTAAGTTGTTTCCAATTCCTTACTATTTTAAATAACGCTGCAATTATTCCCTCAGTATAAATTTGTAGAAGTAGAATTGTTAGCTCAATGCATGATTGGAAGGCTTTTTGATACATAGAACCATTAGGCTTTATATGTCGCGTAAGAAATTTTTATGGCCTAGAAAAGCTACACGGGGACATTTAACTGCTTTATCACAGGACAGTAGGTATCTGTCCAGTCATAGCTACAAGGTAGATGGAACCACTTGAATGGTTCAACTGAAACAGAGAGTACTCACAAGCTCAAGGTCACTCCAGGAATGGCCCCCCAGTGCCATACACCCTGAGGTTGTGGGTTTTGTGTTAGGGCTCTTGGTCAAAATTCAGAACAGCTGGAAAAATGCTTCTATGCCGGTACTTCTCTATATGCCAAGATGTTAATATTCCAGCAATTAAACAGTAGTAACCATCTTCTCATTGAAATGTTACTATTCAACAAGGTAGCACAAGTTTTAAGACTACACATATTTCTGTATTGGACTCAAGATAGCTATGTCCATTTTGAATTTTTAAGAAATTCTGCCAGGCCATTGATTTTCCTGAATTTGCTCACTCTTGGGTCCCTTGCGTTCATCCACCCAGCCTTGGGCACAGGACCTGTCTCATGGTGTCCTTCCTCCATGCGAACTTGCCCTGTCCTCTGACCACGTCTTTTTCCCCCTCTGCCCTCAGGACAACGGCCTGACACTGGCACTGGCCTGCCATGGCCCCGCAGTACTGCATGCACTCCTGTCACCCTTAAGGAATCCTTTCCACTCTGGTTCCCACCACTGACCTTCTCAGGACCTCAGCTTCCAAAGCCCTAGAGAGGGAACGTGACTGTCCCATTCATCCTTCTCTGCCAGGTCACTTGCCCTAGGTCATTGGCCAGCCTATGAGTCTGTTTACCTTGGGTCAAATGCTCACTCATGGTTCAACTCTCTGTGTGGGAAGGGAAAAACAGCTATGTGCTATGAAACATGGTTGCTGTCCCCCCAGCAGGCCCCAGGAGGGGTGGTCCCCCGGAAGCAGGGGAGGGCAGGGCAGGCATCTCCAGAACAGGCTCACTGTATGGGGTTCATTCAGTCAGAGGCGAGATTCTCTGCCTGAAGATCAGGAGCTCAGCCACCGATTCTCTGAAAGATCAGCTCAGAAGAGGCCCTTGACATACAGAGTAGTTATTCCTTTATTGGTGATTCCTGTCACTCTTCCCTTTAAGTCACTTGAAGCGAATCACTGTCCTGGGTAATTTAAGAGGCAAAGTTGGACTTGGCAGGAACATGGTTGGCATTTTCCTGGGGGTCTGTCAGATGGTGACAGTTTGCTGAACCAAGTGAGGAAGAGCAGTGAGTTGCTGGCCTTTGCCCAGCATCCCGGGAACTTCTCTGGCTTGAACAGCAAAGGTTTTAGATTCCTTTCTCCTAGGCCTCTCTCTTTTTCTTTTTCTCTTTTTCTTAACTACTTCATAGTCACGCCTGAAACCCTCTGAGGGTAAGTTTGCATTGTAAGATCCACTGATGAGAGCTATAGCAGTTTATGGATCTAAAAATCCCTGCTTCTGATATGAACGAATGGAAGGCTCCCAAAGGGCCACTCCGAGTGTGAGTTTATGGCACGACAAAAGTGATTATGGTGGGGAATTATTAAAATTGCTTTATTCCTTCCTGCTTCTCATGGTGACTAAAAATGACCACAACGTCACAAAAACTTTCCGATTTATTTTATTTTTATCTGATATGTGTTTATGTATGTGTCTAGCATGAGTACATATACATATATGTATAACTGTGTACATATACCAGCAGAAAAAAGTATATTATCTGGAGAGAAATAGCATAAACAAAAACTTTTGCTGTACTCTGCCTTTTTTGTCTCTTGAACATTTAAAAGGATAAATAAAAATCCAGTCACAGGCGCACACGTGAAGTTTTGGGGAAACAACTTTCAAACATTTAAGGAAAAAATCTAAAAAAAAAACAAAACAAAACACCTTTCTGTTTCTGTCAGGACCTTGATACTAAATACAATTTCCGTTCAATTCTAAGACATCCATTTCAACATCAATTGTGTGTTTCTGGAATCTTTAATTCTAGATTCTGGAAGAAACATGCATTCCAGAATTGAGGGAATGCAATGGATAGCTTTCGGCCACTTCACATACAACAAAAATGGGAAGCTTCACCGCCCTGACTCCTTCAGTATGGTTGAATACGAGCCTCTGTCATGTCACAATAAGGAACACCATCCAAAATATTTCCAGAGGATGATTAGACATGACTTTATTCGACAGCTTTTAACACTCTGCTGGAAATCTTGCTACAAATGGTGATCAAGAGGAAATCGTATTTTTAGACTCTACGAACAGAAAATGTTAGAATGACATTTGTGTGCTTTGAGATTTAAGTCACGTACCTTTCCAGTAGCTGTGGAGCCAGTAAAGGAGACTTTGGACACTAGAGGATCAGTGCAAAGCGCTTCCCCTACTTCCTTGGCCTTCTTTCGAGAGCAGGGCACAACATTGTACACACCTGGAGGGATTCCAGCCTGGTTTGCCAGCTATAAAGAGAAACAGCAAACATGTGGCAGCGAATGATCAAACTGAAAAAACGGAAAAGAAATAAATATTTGTTTTAATCCACAAAGGAATGGAAAAAAATTAAGCTGACTTTGGGGACAGAATAAGAATATATTTGGAACTGAAATAAGATTCCTAATAGTGCTAAAGTGATATTAATGTTGTTACACCAACTTAAAATTTTTTAAAGGATAAGTTTCAATGCCAATTTCTGTTCAAAAAAAAACCACACCTTGGATTTCTTTCCCAAAAAAAAATCAGAGGAGCTCAAGAAAAGTTATTTGATTCACCTGCAGAATCAGGGGAGTGAGTGGAGAGAAGCATTTGCCGCGCACCTACGAGGTGCAGGGCGGTGGGCAAGGCCTTCCCACAGGTCATTTCCAGAGCAGTGGAGAGGAAAGGGAGGCCCAGCAGGGAAGAATCATGCCAAGACCACATGCTAGAGAGTAACAGAAGCAGCACGCTAACCCACAGCTGCCTGACTTGGAAACCTGTGCTCTTTCCATGGCGATTCTCTCTGGATAAGGCATATCTTGAATTATTGTGACTTCTGAATCCCACTAACAATTAACTTATTGCACAAATCTGACTGGGGATTCTGGGAAGACAATGGGAGCAGCCGTTTTCGAATCTCTCTCTGTATCCCCTCAAAAAAACAGAAAGAGAGCAATTAGATAGCCAAACCAAAATATCAGAGACCACATTTGCAAGACTGGATGTAGTGTAAGTGCCAGAGAATTGTTTTTTTTCCCCCCAATTGTAACGCAAGTGCCTGACTTAGCTCTGCTTGCATCCACTTCAAAGACGGCCATCTCACAAACACATTGCCAGCCACACGACTAGGTGGAGAGCCAGGCCATCCTCCCCCTGAAGTTTCCTTTTGCTTTAGAGATCTCTGGTTGGCTTAGATAACTGACCATTTGGCCACTTGTTTTTGCCTTCCTATGTTTAATTCTGCTCTTAGGGTTTAAATCCACCAATAAAGACTGAATCCGAAAAACCCTGGGCCCCTATTCCGGACCCCAATAAAAGTAGAACCCCAGGCCCATGCATGCGCTCTCTCTCTCTCTCCCTCTGCCCACAGCCTCACTGTGTGGCCTTAGGCGTGCCATGTACCTAAAAGGACATGTGAGGAATGAACTTTATCTTTCAACATTTCCTCCCAGTTATTGCTGAGGGTGTCTCACAATCATAAGAACCACAAGGGCTGGTCCAGCCACAATGCTGGTTCCAAAAGGAGAAATATCTGTGAGCAGCTTGCTGTGGGCCCAGGTGAGCACGCCCAGGCATTTCTAGCTGATAGTGCTATTGACAGACCAAGACCAGCACAGAACACTGGATGACAAGGCAACTCCACAAACTGCAAATTACAAGTGGGTGGGAACATACCACTGACAGCTGGGGAACACCAGCACCTTCGTAAGAAGACACAGAGGGAAGTAATAGGCTGTCTGATGCACCTGATAACAGAGAACCCCAAATAGCCCACAGGTGTTCATGCAACACAGGGCAGGCAAATTTGGAACAGCAACTATAATTGCCCAACGCAATAGTAGGTGAGCGCAAGGGACTCTGCGATGAGGACTGAATGGCATGGAGGGTACATTCCCTGGGAACCTGGGAACTGTGGGATGGAGGAGGAGAAGGCCCAGATAAAAGTGGAGAAGGGAATGGAGCTGGGGAATCTCAGAAAGCAAGAAACCCAAAGGCACTCTGTGAAATTAGAGAAGATAGCGCTACCCCTACTTCCTCCTAAAAGTTTAGGAAAATGAACTTCATATAAAAATAAACTAAATTCTCAGAAAAATGCCAAAGTCAAATCTCACACAAAGTTATTAAAAGGAAAAAATAGAATAAAGAGCAGAAAAACATCCTCATAGATAACAAAAGCTTAACAGAAAGACATGCCCACAAAACAGATCCAACTATAACTTACTATGAGGGGAAAAAATGATAGAAAAATTGTACCAGTACACAAAAGAACAACATGAATCAGAATTAGAAAAATTTAGAAATGAGGTGAAGGAACATAGGAAAGAATTAGAAATAAAAGAATAAAATCATTTCAGAAATGAAAAGCAAACTAGAAGAAACACAAGAAGAAACACAACAGATAGTACCTTAACAAAAATAGACAGTGGAAAAGAAGGTATTTTTTAAAATGAGGGAAAAGATGAAATGGATACAAGAGAAAGTGACAAAAAAGATTTAATACATAGATAATAGGAGTTCCTGAAGAAGAAAACCAAACCAAGGGTAAAGAACAAATTCTGAAAACTTTCCAGAGATTTAAAAAAAAGATCTGAACCTACACATTGAAAGAGCCCCTGTATACCTGGAGTATTGACCCAAGAAAATCATCACAAAGACAGACTTTAGTGATATTACTGGTCTTTAAAAATAAAGTGAAAAAACCCGCTTTGGGGTAACTAGCAGAAACGATAAGCTGATTTACACAGGCAAGAAACTTAGATCATCATCAGACTTTTCAATAGCAACACTTTATATCAGAAGAAAATGGAGAACACATTGAAGACAATCAAGTAAAGAAAATGTGAACCAAGGATTTTACTTCCAGCAGCCCTGATTCACAAGCATAATGGGCATGGACTGTTGTCAACATTTAAGAACGAGGATATTGTTCCGTGAGGCCTTCCTGAGGAATCTACCAGGGAACAAGGTTCATACGAACAAAATGACTGGAGAGGCCTGACAGAAGCACTGGTGGTAAGCATTAAACGATAGCTGCTTGTGAGCTAGGTCTAAGTGAGGGTTGAAAGGGAGACAATGCAGTATATGTAATGGTTACAGCCCTGACAATGTAGAGACAGACGGTGTTAACTATTTCAAAATACGGGGACACCATCATAGGCAAGAGGAGCCTATGGAGACATGACAACTACATGTAACGTGCCGTTCTAGATGGGATCCTGGAACAGAAAAGGACATTCGGCAAAAACTAATGAAATGTGAATAAGGTATGGACTTCTGTTAATAACGACGTATCAATGTTGGTTCACTAATTGTAACAAATGCACCATGCTAAGGTGAGATGCTAATAATAGGGGGTATGTGGCAAGTCCCTGTATTCTCTCTTCAATTTTTCTGTAAATGTAAAACTATTCTAAAATAAAAAGGTTAATTAATAAAAATGACAAGAATGGATATAGAAATACAAAAAACTTCAACCATTTTCAGGAGGCATACTGGTGATGATGATACTAGGATGAATATTCAGAAGCTGTGGTGTGTATAATGCGGGACAAAGCAAATGAGTAACAGTGGGGTACTCTAATACAGTCACTGCCTGAGTCCTTGGGTCCCAGGAAAAGAGGAGATACAAATAAAATGTAGGAGTATCTGTAGCACTAAATTTGAATTGGAAGTTTCTGGATGAATTTATGCAGTATTTTAGTGTATGTGTACACAAATATGTATGTTTCCTAGCCCTGCCCACTGAAAAGGCCTAGAAAAAATGACCAACTAGTAGCAATGACCATTCTTAGAGCCCCAAGTGTAGACCTAAAATATCATCTCCTGCTAAAGGAAACAAGGTTTTTCTGCAGAAAAGGTTAATTCCAGGTGCTGGGCAGGAAATATATATAATAAGCCTGAACTATCTTGTCATATTAGATAGCAAAGAACTTCTCAAAGACTGTTTGAATTATGTTAAAAGATACAAGAGCCAACTTGAAGGGGCTGCCATCGGCCAAACATGAGGGCAATTTGAGCTTCATTAAGGATAATAATTACAACACACTGAAACTCATCAAATATGTTAACATCTATTAGCACATAATGATACTTAAAAAAACTAATTGGTAACCTTCGGCAGATGGTAGGAATAGCTTCATTAACTTGAAAAACTGGTAAATAAAGAGAAAGAATCGAGCACTTGTACTGCCTTTCCTGTATGAACTGACCACTGGGTAACCAAATGGGAGATGATGGGATGCTTTGCTTTATAGAAGGAGTCTAGTGAATAAATGAAACAGAAATGAAAGCATTCAAATATTACCACGTTCACAACTCCTAATGAATTAAGAGACTGAGCAGCATTGAGCAGCAACGGCTGATATCATGAAAGCAGAGACAACCAGACGTACGTGCCTCCTGACAAAAGGACACAAAAAAGGGACTGAGTCCAAGTCTGAGGAAGCATCTGGGTGCAGCGGACAGAGGAACGTGGTGTGCCACCAAAATCCACACTATGGGAAGCTCTACCGGTCAAATGTCCAGTTTCTTCAAAAGGTAGATTGTAAGGCAAAGAAAAGCATGGAGGGGAACCTGCCGATTAAAAGAAACTTACAAGATGTTCCAAATTAAAAAGTAAGACTATGGTGCCTGGGATGCACACTTGGGTGATACAGCTATAAAAAACACGAAGTTGGGGCCAGCCCGGTGGCGTAGCAGTTAAGTTCATGCGTTCCACTTCCGCATCCTGGGGTTCCCAGGTTCGGATCCCGGGGGTGGACATATGCACCGCGTGTCAAGCCACGCTGTGGCGGCGTCCCATATAAAGTAGAGGAGGATGGGCACGGATGTTAGCCCCAGGGCCAATCTTCCTCAGCAAAAAAGAGGAGGATTGGCAACAGATGTTAGCTCAGGGCTAATCTTCCTCAAAAAAAGAAAAAAAAAACCCACAAAGTTATTACCATAAAAATCAAGACAGGCTATCTTGGAGGGAGGGAGGGAAGGAGGCAGTGGGATTCAGACAGGACAAAGAGTCCTTCTGGGGCAGCTGGCAAAGTTCTATTTCTTACCTAGGTGGTGGTTGCAAGGGTATTCAATTTAGAATCATTCATGGAGCTGTAAATTTGTATTGTATGGTTTTTCTGTATCTACTTTATTTTACAATAAAAAACGGAAAACAACACTGACTGGATGCAAATACTTTATGATTATTTTGAACGAAGACACAGGCAAAGCAGGATAAACTGCCTCGTCCAGGGCAAAGAGAGATCCTTGGAGTTTCTAGGCCTTCACTAAGGACCTATTATTTTCTGTAGGTCTAAGAAGCTGCATTTTTCCTTTGAGATAATCTCTCAGTTTATAGAGGTTTTAAAAAATGTGGTTCTTAACCTTTCCAATCAATATAGATGTGTGCTTTCAGACAAATTTTGTAAGCAGGTGGGGTCTAACAATCATTGGTACTGGCTCTAAACACTATAATCTGTAGGAAATACATCATTAATTCTATCTGTGCCTTGGGGTCTAAGGTTAACTTACACACATCGCACAGATTAAGAATGATTTCAGGTAAAACTATAACAGCCCATCTAAAAAAAGCCTTCCATTCAGTTTATGCTTCTGTATGACTAAAACGACTGATTTGCCTCTGAAATAAGGTGCCGTTTGGTGAAGTGCCCTCTAGGACAGGAGCTTCTAGGCACTGGGTCTGGAGCAGCACCGGGTCCCTAAGAGTCTAGAACAGCAAGCGTGGTAACTGCCACTGCCCTGGGGATGGTTAGGTCTGGTCTTTCAGAAGCTCCTTTATCTGACCACAGGGCAAAGTGCAAAAACAGCAGCAAAGGGACCCAAAAGAGGACGAGGCCCACCAATCCAAGCCTCCCCTCCCTCTCCCCTTCCCTCCCTCCCCCCTTTCTTCTCTCCATCCTGCCCTGGTTCCTTCCCTCCCTCCCACAGATACTGACTGTCTCCTATACCCAGGCACTGTTCTAGGCCCTGGCACACAGCAGTGAACAAAACAGACCCAAGAGCCTGTCTCCACAGAGCTTACATTCTGGTGGGGGCAGATAATTATCAAAACAACTAAGTAAAATATCTAGTAGGTTAGGTGCTGCTAAGTGCTATGGGAAGAAAAATAAAGCCAGGACGCCGACCAGGAGCACAAGAGTTCAAGGCTGTGGTCTTCACATAGGGTGGCCAGGGGAGGACTCACTGAGAAGCTGGCATTTGAGTAACACTTGAAGAAGCAAATCATGGGCGTCCCTGGGGGAGAACTTTCCAGACCGAAGGAAAAGCAAGTGTAAAGCTGAGTCAGGGGTGAGCTTGGTGTGCTCTGAGGAGCAGCAGGGGCCGGAGTGGCCAGAGCAGACAAGAAAAGAGCTATGGAGTGATAGCTAAGGGCAGAGGGGCATTGGGGGCCAGGGAGGTGGCATCTTCTAGGGTCTTGAAGGCCACTGTAGGAAATTTATTTATTTATTTATTTATTTTTTTTATTTTTTTGTGAGGAAGATCAGCCCTGAGCTAACATCCATGCTAATCCTCCTCTTTTTGCTGAGGAAGACCAGCTCTGAGCTAACATCTATTGCCAATCCTCCTCCTTTTTTTTTTTTTCTCCCCAAAGCCCCAGTAGATAGTTGTATGTTATAGCTGCACATCCTTCTAGTTGTTGTATGTGGGAGGCGGCCTCAGCATGGCTGGACAAGCGGTGTGTCGGTGCCCGCCCGGGATCCAAACCCGGGCCGCCAGTAGCAGAGCGCGTGCACTTAACCGCTAAGCCACAGGGCCGGCCCCAGGAAGTTTGGATTGTACTCTGAGTGACATGAGAAGCCATTAGAGGGTTTTAAACAGAAGGACAAGATCTGACTGAATTAAGATTGAACTGGAGAAGGGAGTGGTAAATGAGGTTCCCTAAATGTGAGAAATGCTCCCAGTTTAGTCATGTTGCTATGGCTGCCTACTTAATAAAAATGATGGAGAGAGATCATTTTTAGGGTAGCCTAAAACATACACTGCCTACAGATGTCAGAAAATCTCCCATCCATTGTTTTTTCTAAGAAAACCAACATCTGACTTAAAATAATTGCTAGTAAATTAGAACACAACACCATCCAGCATGAGATGTAGGCAAAGACAGAGGCTTCGAAATTGCTTCTTTCTGTCCCAGATAAATATCGTTTTTCAGACTCTGTCGGCTCTGCACAAACCCAGGGAGAGAGGCTCACCTCGGCCAGGGCCAGGGCAGAGAAGGGCGTGTCTTCTGCAGGTTTCACCACCACAGTGCAGCCGGCTGCCAGGGCGGCCCCCACCTTCCTGGTGATCATGGCGCTGGGAAAATTCCACTGGGGTCAGAAGAGCAGAAGAAGTAGGTGAGAGGAAGGACTGCCCCATACTTCAAAGCAAGATAGGTCAGGAAGCCAGTCAACAAATTCCATTGCACAACTGCCTGGTGAAGCTGTTCTCTGGGGGGCCGGCCTGGTGGCGCAAGCGGTTAAGTGCATGCACTCTGCTGGGGCGGCCCAGGGTTCGCCAGTTCGGATCCCGGGCACGCACTGATGCACCGCTTGTCAAGCCATGCTGTGGCAGCGTCCCATATAAAGTGGAGGAAGATGGGCACGGATGTTAGCCCAGGGCCAGTCTTCCTCAGCAAAAAAGGAGGAGGATTGGCATCAGATGTTAGCTCAGGGCTGATCTTCCTCACAGAAAAAAAAAAAAAAAGCTGTTCTCTGGCTCTTGCACAGGTGAGCTCTCAGAACACCCAACACTTGTCAACTTGAGGGACTCAGGAGACAAGGGTTCATCAAGACAGGAAATATTTTCAGAATTTAAAACAGTACAAAATTATCTACACCAAGGGTCTGCAAGCTTCTTCTGTAAGGGGCCAGATAATAAGCATTTTAGGCTTCGTGGGTTATATAGTTTCTGTTGCAACTACTCTGTGGTTGTAATCTGGAAGCTGCCACAGCCAATATGTATATGAATGGACATGGCTCTGTCCCAATAAAACTTTATTTACAGATACAGGCAGCAGGCTGGATTTGGCCTGAGGGCCACAGTTTGTTGACCCTTTGGGAGAAAATATGAGCAAACGAGATTTGGAAAATAGCAGATGGTTTATTACTTCCCCCCTCTATATACTAATAGACATGCAGACAGCTATCGATATCTATGTATATTAACAGTATTTTATTTTGACAAATACTTGTATAATGCTTATTCTGTACCAGGCACTGTTCTAATCACTTTTCAATTATAATTAATTAAATCCTCATTACAACCCAATGAGGTTGGTATTATTATCTTCCTTTGCAGATTTGGGGAAACTGAGACAGAGATGTTAAGTATCTTGCCCAAAATCACACAGCTAAACAGTGAGCTTTGAGTCAAACCTAGTAGTCTAGGCAGTAAAAGGGAGGGATGTCTATAAATATGCTGAGCAGGGAAAGAACAGCAGTCTTGAGATCAGCTGGCAGACACTGCAGAGAAGTTAATATGGCCCTGGTAGAAGGTAGGTCCAAGGAAGGCTGGTCACTCCACAAGTATACTGCAGCCCCATCCAGGCAAACACAATACCTTATTTTTCAGCCTTTTTACCTCCAGAACCCCACCCAGTGCCTGCTGGTAGGTACACAAACCCTCTACTGTTGATGATAACCATAAATTAAGCATCAAATTTTCCTAAAACTATGGCACATTAAAAAATGTGTCATATCTTAAGTCTTTTAAAAAAATGATAAATACCAGAAGATCTTTTCAGATGTGCTAGGCAATGCCAAGAAGCCTTCATGCCAAGTCAGAAAGGCCCCTGGGTCCTCCTGTGAGTCGTCCCACTTCTGCAGGCATTAAAAAACATGTCTTCCCACTCGCCACCACCACACCTCACATTATCACAGAGGACCAGGAAACACACCTCCACCTCCAGCAAAGGAATCAGGAAACCAAGAACAGGTGACACAGCTATCAGGCAGAGGACACCTCTTCACAGGGAAGAATGAGGTGTTTCCCAAGTCCCTACTCAAGCTCCTCCTCTGGGATCTTCTGATCCCGCACGTACCGGGGTGATGATTGCAGCCACACCCACGGGCTGCTTGAGGACCAGGGCCCGCTTGTCTTTTGCCGGCACACTGATAATGTCTCCGTAAATGCGACGGGCTTCCTCTGAAAACCACTCGAGGAAAAAGGCAGAATAGAGAATTTCTCCCTGTGCCTCCTTCAGGGGCTTTCCCTAAATTAAATCAAAAAAGGACACATTCATTACTTTCCAATAACGAGAGCATGACTCGGTGTTTCTAAATTCTTCGAGGCTGCAAGCAGAGTAGAAAAGTCTCCCGTTACAAACCCACGGGGTTGTTGAGAAATTTCTAAGCAGTGTGAGTTTTAGAAAGCAGAATTACAACTAATTGGCACGTGTGCCACCTTAGACCACAATTGATCATCATTTGCACTGTCAACGTTTAAAAATTAGGAGGGAACAACCAGAACTGTATCTTCTAGTTTTTCCTCCTAATATCTTCTAAATGTTGTGACCATGGTGTAATTTACTGTAGCTACAGAGCAACTACTGGTACATTTTTAAATGTACAAAAACAACATGAAAAGTCAACCAAAATAGCCACATAGGAAAAAGAAAAACTGGAATGGTGAAAAAGCAGGATTTACTTAGTTCCACTCAAAATCTATTCCTTGCATATTATTAAAGAGTAAATTAGTACATAAAAATTTTGTTTTAGGAAATATGAGTGCCTGGCTTCATTAGAAAAAGTTTGTACCTGGCACAATAATTAGTTGATATCTGATCATTAGGCAAGGAATTCACATTTTCTTTAGCTACAGAACAGCACTGAAGTTAGAGGCTTCCCCAAGCTTTAGGCTCAGAATTCTTAATTCTAAGAATTCCTCAATTTTGTGGGGTAGCAAGTTAGGACCCTGAACTTACATTTTCAGCTGTAATTATCTTGGCAAGGTCATCCTTATTTCGTATCATTAAATCGTACCATTTCCGAAGTAATGAGCTCCTCTCCTGAAAAAGAAAGAAAAAGAGAAATAGTGAAATGCCAAGCATAAGAGAGACTGTCAAATAATCTTCAATTTCCTAAAATATTTGCTGTGTGGCCTCATTCTTAGGGAGACACATTGGCCTTCCTTCTTTTTTTTATTGAGATATAATTAACATATAACATTATATCAGTTTCAGGTATACAGACTTTTTTCTGATAAGTAATAATAAAGATGCAATTTCAACTTGCATCTAAAGGGGTGTACCAAGTCATAAATTATGGAACAGCTGTTATTGTTTATGGTAAATATGAATAACTTTAATTTCACTACACAAAGGGATAGTTCCCTACTTTTTAAAAATTATTATTTTAATTGTGGTAAAATACACATTATGTAAAATTTACCATCTTAACCATTTTTAAGTGTGCACTTCAGTGGCATTAATTACCTTCACATTGTTGTGCAACCATCACCACCATCCATCTCCAGAACTCTTTCCTTCTTGCAAAACTGAAACTCTGTACCCGTTAAATAGGTCCCTTCCCCCCAGCTTCTGACAACCACCATTCTACTTTCTGTTTCTATGCATCTGACGACTCAAGGTAGCTCATGTAAGCAGAATCATACTGTATTTGTCCTTTTGTGACTGGCTTACTTCACTCAACATAATGTCCTCAAGTATAGTTCCTTATTTTAACAGCTCACTGGCAAGTTTGATTCCTCCCACAGACTGGGGTGGGGTTTATGGGGTGTGTGAGGCATAAGAAAGAGTTTTACACACTTAAAAAGAGGGCCCAGGCACAACACTGTGAATGTACTTAATGCTACTGAACTGTATACTTACAAGTGGTTAAAATGGTAAATTTTATGTTATGCATATCTTACTACAATTTAAAAAAATTTCCAAATCATGAAAAATGGATAAAAGGATTGGATTATTAAGACTATTAAGAATATTATGGGTTTCTTAAAAAAAAATAAATAAACTTTTTTTTCAAAAAGGAATTCAGGGGCCTGCTGGTGGCGCAAGAGGTTAAGTGCGCGTGCTCTGCTGTGGTGGCCCGAGGTTTGCTGGTTCAGATCCCGGGCGCGTACCAACACACCTCGTGGCAGGCCATGCTGTCGTAGCGTCCCATATAAAGTGGAAGAAGATGGGCACAGATGTTAGCCCAGGGCCAGTCTTCCTCAGCAAAAAAAAAAAAACAGAAAACAAAGGAATTCGTTTATATAAAAGCATAAAAAAAAAAAAAAGAGGGGCCGGACTGGTGGCGCAAGCAGTTAAGTGCGCGTGCTCCGCTGTGGTGGCCCGGGGTTCACCAGTTCGGATCCCGGGTGCGCACCGACACACTGCTTGGCAAGCCATGCTGTGGCGGCATCCCATATAAAGTGGAGGAAGATGGGCACGGATGTTAGCCCACGGCCAGTCTTCCTCAGCAAAAAAAAAAAAAAAAAAAAAAAAAAATGAGGAGGATTGGCAGATGTTAGCACAGGGCTGATCTCCTCACAAAAAAAAAAAAAAAAAAAGAGGGCCCAGACAGTCCAGGTTAACACACAGAGGTCCTCTAAAGAAAGATGTGCCCCAGAGCTCCCACCTCCTGCATCTGAACAGGTGTATCTGAAGCAAAGACAAATCTTTGGTTTCCTCTTACCTGCCGGAAGGGCTGCCCAGGGTAATGAGCAAACCTGGTTTGTCATTCTGACATTCCAATCCATTCAGCAGGTGTAAGATTTTAATCATTTTCTCATTCCACTCGTGAGCAGAGAGCCTGAGCCTGCGTAAACACCTCTAACTGTCTTTCTCTGGGTACTTTCCGTTCTCTGTTTCGGAGAGGCTAACAAGCTGTGGTCTCTCACCTCTTGGGGGTGTTGTTGAGATGACGGCTTCTATATCTCAGCCCCCCAGAGACGACGCATTGACAGCTCTTCAAACAACATTACCACCGTAATTTCATTTTGTTTACCCAGTTAAGAATCTGATGACTACAGGCTAGTGTGCTGTGGTTTATTCTGGGTGAGAGACAGATGAAAATCTAGAAGGCCTGGCTCACAGAAAGAAAGTAAATATCTGAGTAAATGGCCTGCTAGGAAGAAAGCACATACGTAGTCTGAGAGAGAATGAGAGAAGAACCTGAAACAGCACGAGAACCAGAAGAATAAAAAGTAGATTCTGCTTGCTGACAGAAAACAACGTGTAGGCTGAACAGAGAAACCAGCAGAGGCAACGAATCACCTTCAAGTACGCAGAGCCCGTGTTACAGTTAATTGTGTCCGCCCAAAAAAGATATGTTAGAGTCTTAACTCTCTGTCTCAGAATGTGACCTTATTTGGAGATAGGGTCTTGACAGAGGTAATCAAGTTAAAATGAGCTCGTGAGGGTGGGCCCTAATCCAATAAGACTGGTGTCCTTAGAAAAAAAGGAAATTTGGACACAAAAACAGACACACACAGAGGGAAGATGATGTGGAAGACACAAGGAGCAGACGGCCATCTACAAGGCCAGGGGAAAGGGTGGAACAGATCCTTCCCTCAGAGCCCTCAGAAGGAACCAACCCTTCCAACATCTTGATTTCGGACTTCTAGCCTCCAGAACTGAGACAATAAATTTCTGTTGTTTAAACTACCAAGTTTGTAGTACTTTGTTACAGCAGCCTCAGGAAACTACTACAGCCTTCATGAGGAGCTGTGTGAATGTGCAAGAGCCAGCCAGGGGTCCTGGGAGGCTCACGGTGGATGGAGTCACATGGGGCTCAAATCCCAGACCCTCCACTTGAGCAGGAGTGAAGTTACGGACGGTGAACTATGAGCCTCTCTCAGCCAGCCTCCTCCTCCTCCTCCACAACATGGATCAAGTATCTACCTCCCAGGGCCTTTGAAAGGACTAAATAGAACATGTGTAAACAGTACTCAGCTGTGGTAGGCACAAAAATGGCCCACAAAGACGTCTTCATCCCAATCCCCGGAACCTGTGAGTATGTTACCTCATATGGCAAGAGAGATTTTGCAGATATGATTAAGTTGAGGATCTTGAGGTGAGGAGAGGATCCTGAATTATCCAGCTGGGCCGGATGTAATCCCAAGGATCACTATAAGAGAGAGGCAGGAGAGTCAGAGCCAGAGAAGGTGGTGTGACAACAGGAGCAGAAATTGGAGTGATGTGGGGCCACAGACCAAGGGCTGTGGGCAGCCTCCAGAAGCTGGACCAGGCAAGAAAGCTCCAGAGCTCGAAGAAGGAACGCAGCCCTGCCAACCCATTTTGGACTTCCGACCTCCAGCGCTGTAAGAGAATAAGTTTGTGTTGTGTTTTGAGGTGCTACGGTTGTGGAAATTTGTTAACAGTAGTCATAGGAGACTAATACATTAGCTTATGAGGTGGTTAATAAATATCAACTCCCTTCTTTCCAAGAGCTTCTCCAGGAGTTCACAAGGCGGGAAAAAGGAGGTCAGAAAACACGTGAAAAGAAAGACACGAGGCAACGCAAAAGATGTCAACAGGAAACGCCAGACAATGGACCCAAGGTGTGTTCAGAGAAGGGACGATAATGGAAGGCTGTGTGGTCTGACAGGCTCAATCGCAGAAGTAATACACGAGCTAGACCTCTGAACACACGAATACATGAGCTGTGATCTGAACACAGGTGATGGTGCCAGTATCAGCGAGAGGCCCCAACACCAGCCCTGTGGCTCCCAACAGCCACTGAACCAGAGACAAGGCTGGAAGAGCTCTGGAGACTGCGCTGTAACACCCCTGTACGGCAGGCGTGACACTGGGCGCTAGTGGGTACTCCAAAATGATGCCAGAGGGCCCAGCAATCAGTGCTTGATCCACTGCCTTCCTGGATCTCATCATTCCCACAGCTGTCAGTGCCTGCTCGTCTGACTCCCACACTTACATCTCTAGCTCAGGCCTCCCTCTCAACCTCCAGACTCAGGTAGCCAAGTGCCTACATAACATCCTCACTTGGGTGTCTTAACAGACATCTCAGACTCAACGTGTGCAAACTGAGCTCTGATTTCTCACCCCAATGCCGCTCCCTCACACCCTTCCCCATCTCAGTGGATGGTTACTCCTTCCTTTCCACTGCTCTAGCCAAAAGCCCTGGGGTCATCCGTGACTCCTCTCTTTCTCTCACACCCCGCAATTGTCAGGGAATCCGGGTGCCTCTACCTTCAAAATATATCCTTTGTTGGACCACTCTTACCACCTCCACTGCTACCACCCTAGTTCCAGCCATCATCATCATCACACCCAGACACAGACATGCCTATTTGTTCACCATACCTCCCCTACAGGACACTTTGAGGCTTGAAGGCGGGGCCGTGTCCCTAGCGCCTGTCACAGTGCTTGGCACAAAGCCGACGCTCCAAACTTATTTGTTGATCATCTCGTTTCTATGACATTCCGCATGGTGTATCCCGCAGACTTGGGGAGGGACGAGGCGACGCAGCTGGTTTCACCATGGGGCAGAGCCCCCTCGCCCCCTGAACCCGGTGCGCACTCACCTTGGCCGAGACCCCCTTCCACCTGCAGAAAGCCTCGTAGGCGGCGCGCACGGCGGCGCGGGCCTCGGACACCCCGCAGTCGGCCACCATGCCCAGGTTGGCGCCGCTGGCTGGGTCGTGCACGGGGAAGGTGGCGGAGGCCGGGAGCCAGCGGCCACCCACGAAGCCATCTGTGCGCAGCAGCGCGGCGGAAAGGCCCCCTGGGCCCCCGGCATAGCCACGGAGCCAGGCCCGGCCCGGCGCGGGCCGCGCAGCGGGCACCGACCAGTCGGCGCGGGGACAGAGCCCGCGGCCGGGAGACGCAGGCGGGAGGCGCGGGGCCCCGCAGGTCGGCAGCCGCAAGCAGGTCGCCATGGCCCGGGAGGCAGCAGCGGAAGCAGGAAGCAGGCAAGCGAGCGCCCTCCCTCGAGTGCAGGGGTCGCGGGCAACGAGAGGAGCGAGGAGGCGGCGGACGCAGGCTGCAGGTTGGGGAGACGCGGAGCAGCGCCCTCTCCCGCGCCCTTCGCGCCGCACCGCCGCGCCACACTCGCGACCTTGCCCTGAGCGCCGGGCGGCTTCGCTCCCTGCGCGACCTGGGAAGGGTTGGAGCAGGGGAGGGGAAGGCTCGCGGGGAGATGCACCTGCAGGCTGCCGTCACCCTACCCCTTCTCGGGTGCTCATTTGTCTGTAACTATTCCTTATCCTCCCAACCGCTGCAGGAGAACCGCTCCCTCCCCCACGTCATCCCTCCAAACCGGGCCCCCACCACTGGAATTTGCGCTTGGTCCGTGGATGCGCTGGTGTCTGCCCCAGATGCTAAGGACGTGATCACATTTCTTCATCGCCGCAGCTCGTGCGCGCTTACGATTTGGGACGAGGGTTCTCGAAGGGGGTGAAGTGTAGCTCAGCGTCTGCTTCGATGCTTTTCTGGGTGTGTGTCTAGGTATTCTCTCCGTTAATTGGGAGCAGGGGTGCCCCTGATACATAACGGCGCCTTTGGAGACAAAAAGACTTGGATCCAAACTCAGAATCTGTTGTCAACAAGCTTTGTAACCTTCGACAAATTTTTACTTAACTTCAGTCCTCTCCTTCGTAAAATGGAGCATGCCTACCCCATGGGTTTGCAGTGAGAGAATAATGCTCAGTACAGTAGCTACCTTAAATTCAGTGCGACGTTCCAAGTCATACTAGCTGCCCTAGGTCAAGCCACTAGTGAGGTTAAAGTTAGGCCGCCAACTAGTCAATGGGACCATTTGTCAAAATTAAATTAACCAAAGTATAATCATAATGAGACTTGGGCCTAAAACTCTGGAAACAGCAAGGAAGCTTCGACTTGAATGAGGATAGAAATAAAAATAGCAGACCTATACTCCGAATTTTTGGGTTCAAATGAAGCTCAAGTCTAAGCATTGATTTAGGATCCCTAGTCTCGACACATCTCCTCTTCTCCATTCCTACTGAGTTGAGAGTCTCTTCCTGGCTTTTCCTGGAGACTGTGGGCTATTCACCTTTTTCTAGGGCATTGGATTTTTTTTTTTTATGGATGTTTTAATAGTTTACAACATTGTGAAATTTGGGGTTGTACATTTTTGTTTGTCCATCACCATATGTCTCCCTTCACCCCTTGTGCCCACCCCCCACCGCCATTGCCCCTGGTAACCACAATACAGTTTTCTCTGTCCATGTGTTGGTTTATATTCCACATATGAGTGAGATCATACAGTGTTTGTCTTTTTCTTTCTGGCTTATTTCACTTAACATAATACCTTCCAGGCCCATCCATGTTGTTGCAAATAGGATGGTTTTGTCTTTTTTTATGGCTGAGTAGTATTCCATTGTACATGTATACCACATCATCTTGATCCAATCATCAGTCGAGGGACACTTAGGTTGCTTCCACTTCTTGGCTATAGGGAATAATGCTGCAATGAACATAGGGGTGCATAAGCCTCTTTGGATTGTTGATTTCAGGTGCGTTGGATAGATTCCCAGTAGTAGGATAGCTGGATCAGGGTATTTCTAGTTTTAATTTTTTGAGGAATCTCCATACCGTTTTCCATAAAGGCTGCACCAGTTGGCATTCCCACCAGCTGTGTATGAGGGTTCCTGTTTCTCCATATCCTCTCCAACATTTGTTGTTGTTTGTCTTAGTGATTATAGCCATTCTAATGGGTGTGAGGTGATATCTTAGTGTTGTTTTGATTTGCATTTCCCTGATGATTAGTGATGTTGAACATCTTTTCATGTGCCTATTGTCCATCCTATATCTTCTTTGGAGAAGTGTCTGTTCATTTCCTCTGTAGGGCACTGGATTTTTATTTGCAAAATGCTGAGGCAATACTTTATTTTTTATTTTTATTTTTTTTGTGTGTAAGGAAGGTCAGCCCTGTGCTAACATCTGCCAATCCTCCTCTTTTTTTGCTGAGAAAGACTGGCCCTGGGCTAACATCCGTGCCCATCTTCCTCCACTTTGTATGGGACGCCACCACAGCATGGCTTGCCAAGCGGTGTTCCCGTGGGCGCCCGGGATCTGAACCCGGCGAACTCCCACACTTAACCGCTTGTGCCACAGGGCTGGCCCACCGAGGCAATACTTTAAATTTTCACTTTGCTTTTGGTTGAGTCAGCATCACTCAGTCTTGAGTCAGTCACTTCTGGCAGAAGTGGGAACAGTGGAGTTTAATCTTTTGTGTGGATTCACTCTTTCGTTCTGTATTCTATTGGAGGAACTGGGGAAAGAGGAGAAGTCCTGATAGGGAGACCGCTGCCAGTGGGTATCACACTCGGGACTAGGGAGCTGGCGTATTTCCACCTACTGCCTGCAGAAGGAGCTCTATTGAGAGCTGATTTCTACAGGCTCGGGGGAAATAGTTCTTTAGAGGAAACCGAGTCCCAGAAAAGTGAAGTCGACTATGGGTGCCCCTCTTGATACTAAATTAGTCTGCTTATCGTTTTAAGGTTCTGTTTCAAACGGTGCCCACTCCCTTTCCCAGCTGACTTCACTACACACAGTAGATACAATGGGCCCACAGTATTTTTAGGGGCACACAAAAATGTTTTACTTCTTCTAAGATCAGAAGAAAAAAATGAACTTTTAGGTTGAATATAAGTATATTAATATTTATACCAATGCGGATGTAAAGTGTGATTTTTATTTATTTATTTTAATGAAGGAAGGGACCCACAAAGGCAAACATGCCTAGAGCCAAGGAAATTCACGATGTCGCCCTCGCCATCTTTCCCACTGTTTGTGCCCTCTGCAAGCCCCCATTCAGAGTGGGAACAGTTCTCTCCTGGTTCCTGTCTTGCTTCTAGGCTGCCCTGATGCCCCCCAGAGCCTGGCTGGGTATGCTCACCGGGGCCTTCGAGGACAACACCACTACGCGACAGGGACCTTTTCTTCCTATCTTCTTAGCCTGCCCTTGTCCTGGGCACCTCCCTCTCCTAATTCTTACCTTTCTCCGTTTTATCCTCCATTTGCTAAAAGGGCACTATGGTGACAGCAACATATTAGACTTGTATAGAAGTGAGCTGAAATTGTCTGTTTTATCTCAAAAGATTCTGGACATTAAAATTGTATCTCAGGACTGGGCCAGTGGTGGAGTGGTTAAGTTTGCATGCTCTGCTTCGGCTGCCTAGGGTTTTCGGTTTGGATCCTGGGAGCAGACCTATACACCGCTCATCAAGACGTGCTGTGGCAGCCTCCCATATATACAAAAAATAGAGGAAGATTGGCACAGATGGTAGCTCAGAGGCAATCTTCCTCAAGCAAAAAGAGGAAGATAGGCAACAGATGTTAGCTCAGGGCCCGTCTTCCTCACCAAAAAAAATAAATAAATAATTGGTATCTCATTTATGCACATAAGATCCACCTTCACTTCAAAAATCCCATCCACTTTTTCTTTATACACATCTAAATGGTTATAAAATGTATTACTGAATGCCTGAGTATAAAATTTTTTTAATCTTTTGAAATTCAATAAGGAAAAGAGTTACTCAATAGAAATCTAAGGTGACTCTTTTGGAAAGCGAAAATTTCTTTTGAATGATAATAATCAACATGCATTGAACACTTACTGTATACCACTCTCTATTCTATGCATTTTACACGTGTTAATCCTCTGACTCAACAATGACCCTGTAAGGTGGTGACTATTATTGTCCCTATTTTTATGGATAATTTTATAGGTAAAGAAACTGAAGCAAAGAAATTTTTAATAACTTGCCCAAGGTCATCCAGATAGAATGTAGCAGAACAGGGATCCAAATGGAGCCTGAGGCCCCACAGCTCTCAAGCAAATATCCCCCACCCCACTCCTTAATGTAACTGCATATTTACTTCTCAACTTGTGTGTCTATTTCCAGAAAAGCTCTAAGTGGTAGAATCATGCTGCCTCCTTTATAACAAAGCCACCTGTATTAGGAAAGGGGGTGTGGGTGGAAAGAAAAATAATTCTATATACTTATTTTCGTCAAGTAGTTTTCTTAATATTGCAAGCTATATTTTAATTTTCTTTTAAAAGCCTTATCTTTGATGTTTTCATGGTTGTAAAATACAAACTTCATAAAAATTCAAGCAATATTGTCACATAAAGACCATATTCATGACCATCACACTATGATCCCTAAGCAAATAATTCCCTCCTATTTTATTACGTGCATAAAATTAAGTCATTCTGAACCTTAAACACAAAATACGTAATGAAAAATTTGGGCTTAGTATTGCTTAGTTACTGAAACCGTTTCCTTCCCTCGTGCTTTTTGGAGGGGTTTGTTTTATTAAGTCTGGTTAGATATCATTTCCAGGCAGCATTGTTTTTTCCCTGTCGACTCTCTGCATCCCTCTTACGGTTACCATTGACTGACTACTCCTGGATGTTCTGGGTTTACCAAAGCCCCAAGCTATAATTACCATCACCTTACTTGCAGGCTTTAGAAGGCCCAGAGTGAGAAGGAGGCAAACTCCATGGCCTCTGCTGGCCAGAAGGGGCGTGGAAATCGGCAGACAGGGTGTGGATGGTGGGGTCTGGGGGACATGGGGAGGGCACGTTCTGTCTTGGGGGGCAGCTGGCTCCTCGGCGCTAGCTGGTTGTCATATCACATGGGAATGTCAGTTCAGGAAGCCCATTCTTGTTTTTTTTTTTTAAAGAGAGCTAGAAATCTGGATTTCTATGAGGATTTTCCCATTTAAAAAGAAGTTGGCCTAAGTTTATAAAACACCCTGTTAGCCAAACAAAACACATAAGTTTATGGGCTCTGGCCTAAAAGCAGTGAGGGCTGAGGGAGAGCTGGGGGTTCCTTTCCTTGGGGCTTTGCAGGTGGCTGACTTAAGGTTACGGGTGACACTTGGCAGACATCTAAGGGTCTCAGATCACCCCCTCTTCTAGTCTTCTCTTCCATTTGGCTAACCTGACAATGAATACCATTTCCTCCCACTCTTTCAGGATCTCCTTTCTTGCTTTTAATATGGAATATG